GCTCTTCCCCAAGGGCTGCATCCTGCTCCCTGTGCCACCTGCTCATGGCAGGGCCAGGGGATGACTGAGTGGACCCCTGGGGTGCTGCAGGGAGGGGGTTATGCCCGTCAGACCCCACATGGAGTTGGGAGTAGCTGGGGCGACGGGCACAGCAGCCATCCCCAGTTGCAGACCCCCAAATCTCTGCACCCTCCGAACACTCCTTTGCTGGGGAGGGTGTTGCTGGTCTGGGGGTGACTTTGTGCAGACCCAGGAGGAAGGAGGTGGCCAGCTGGGCTCCTCCGGGGCGGTTAGGGGACGTTGGGCTCCTTCTGAGAGGTGATGCCATGTGGCTGCAGTTGGAGCTGTCCCGTGGGCATTTGGGATGTGAGCCATGTCCAAGACCTTTCTGTCTTCTCCCCGCTGGCTCCAGAGCACCCTGCCTACACGCCCAAGGAGTGCTTCCAGCGCATCAGCCGCCGCCTGCGCTCCACGCTGAAGCGGGGCCGGATCCCCATGGCGAGCTGGGGGCTGCTGGGGGGTGGTGGGGCAGGGGCAGGCAGGGCTCCAGCTGCCAGTGCCCCACGTGCAGCTTTGTCTGGAGCCGTGTCCCGAGGGCTGTCCCCTGACCTCGTGCGCGGTCACAGAGGCAGACAAGTGCCGAATTTCAGATGAATTCCTGGGGAATGTGCTCCAATTCTCGTATGACCTCTGCAGCAGTGGCTGATTGCAAACAGACATTCAGCTCCCTGTGCAGATGGGTTTTCCTGGCTCAGTTCAGATTTTTCTGGTAGTTACAGGACACTTTTACGTGGTTGTTTCCCAGTCTCTGCTCAGTGAGCAGCAGGTGACAGGGGAAACCCTGTGTGTTTGCCCTCAGGGGCAGCAGTGTAGCTGTTGGGGTCTGCAGAATGGTCCACACAAGGCTATTTGGAAGACCTTGAATGCATTTTGAAAGGGGTCAAACTGCATAAACCAGTGAGCAGACAATTAAGCCTGAACGGAGGGGCAAGTGTTGCCTCGTGCCGCCTGGCTCAGGGAGCCGAGCTGCCACGCGCGGCCCCTGCACCGTGCTGCCTGCCCAGACACTTGCTATCCTGGGCCCCAGGGGTGCCTGGCTCCCTGCTCCCTCTTCTCAATGGTGCTGTTTTCCTGCTCTGTTTGTTTTCCTTGCTCTAATTAGAGTCTCTAAAAGCAGCCTCGGCTCCTCCTGCCCACTGGCTTCTGCTCGATTTGTTCTCAAATGAGACTCGCTTCTGCTGCTTGTCTCTGGGGTCACGGTGCTCCGGAGAGCTGCATCGAGCTGATCGTTGCCTGTCAGGAGAAAAGGAGATGTGAGGCATGAGGCTTTCCTGGCGGCTGCTGCTCTGAGCATGAGGGACGATGCCAGCCCTTGGCACACAAAGTACGGAGTTGGCAGGGGACGGATTCTTCCGCGCCTCAGGGGCTGGAAAGGGGAGATGTCTCCTTTTCTTGTGCCTTTCTGCCGTCTCGCATCCAGATGACCTGCCTGGCAGCTTCTGGCGGTAACTCCTTGGGAGTCGGAGGCCCTGTTGTGCCGGGGCTGTGTGGACGTGGCAGGAGAAGGTGGTTGTGGTCACAAAGTGCCTGTGGCTCTGCCAGGCCCTGGCTGGGGCAGCAGCTCCTCAAGGGCAAAATGCAGGCGCCGTGAGGGGTGCAGAGCTGTGTGGGGCAGGTCGCTTTTCCCACGTTGGGGCACACCCGGTGAGCGCTGGCTCCCGTCGCCTGGCTCCTTGCTCTTGCCTGTTGCTGCAGGGTTTGAGCAGGGTCCGGCCCCCGCCGCCCTTCTCACTGACAGCTCCTGCCTTTCCTCACAGGGCACGCTGGAGGGCCTGGAGGAGGAGCTGCTGGCCTTCTTCTCCGTCACCCCTCACTCCGTCTACACAGCGCTGATGGACAACAGGTATTTCCCCAGCTCGGGCTCTGCAGGTGTTGCTGCTCCCCGCGGAGCAGGGGCCGGGGTCCTGAGCCGTGCATGCCCCGCGCTGGCGTTCCCAGCTCACCGCGGCCTGAGCCAGCTGCCATGCCCACAGGCTGCTCCGCCTGGGTGCCCCGTGCCCCAGCCTGCACCCCGGAGCTGCCCCAGGCTGCAGAGGGGCTCTGGGAGAGAAGGACACCCCTTGGCCTCCCTTCGGCCAGGCTCGGGTCTCCATCTGGGGCCATTCCCCTGGCCTGGTCCCTGCAGAGCCCCCAGGGGAGGGATGCATGGGGGGAATCCCTGCACAGGGGCTTGTGGCACTTTGTGCTGCCCGTCTCTGGTCTGCGGGAGGAATGAGGGCAGGGCAACACTCAGGAGATGCTGGTCTCAGACAAGTCGGCTCTAACCCTGTCCCCCATTTCCCCCAGCTTCGAGCGACTCCTGCTCCATGCGCTCTGCCAGTACATGGACCTTGTCTCTGCCAGTAAGAGACTCACATTTATTTTTTTGGTTTTGTTGTTGTTTTTTCCCTTCTCTTCCTCACTATCTCTGCTCTCCAGCTCAGCCTCTTCCTCCCTTCCTCCTCCCCACCCCACCTTGTGCTGCAGCTCACAGATAACCCTGCTCTCCTGCCTCTGCTGCCCGAAGCTCCCTCGGGAGCCTTGGCTGTGGCCATGCCGCATGACCAGCACTTGGTAGGCAGGCAACATCAGGGCTGAAGCCCAGCAGCTGGGGTGATGGCCAGGCCCAGCTCTGCCTGGGGGTGTCTCGTTTGCAGCAGTGCTGCCATTTCTCCTCTTGTTCGGGGTCTAGATGCTTCAAAGCAAGAGGCTGCTCGCAGGGATCCCTCCCCTGCGGCTGCTGCCTCCTCCCGCAGAGAGCGGCCGTGCTAGCACCTTGCCTGTGGGCTTCCCTAGAAGGTCTTGTTGCCAAGGCAGGGAGGAGAGGCAACGCGCTCTGTCCCTGCGGAGGAGTCTTCGCTGCTGAGCGTTTCATTAGCAGCTGCTCATGGAAAACAGCATGAGCGTGCTAATGATGCGAAGGGGAGCCTGTGGTGTTGGCAGGGATGTGCGGAGGGGGCAGGGGATGGGCGGACAGTTGCCTCCTTTGCAGAGCACGGAGGAACCCGTGCTCGCTGCAAGCTGCAGGGAGGAGGGGAGGTCACAGGGCTGGGAATGCTGTGTTTGGGACCCTCTGGGTGGGGACGGTGGCATGATAACTGCTTCCTCTCGCCCCCAGGTTCCGACATCGAAGGGAAACGTCAAATGAAAGTGAGCAACAAACACCGCGTCTTCCTGCCCCCCGAGCTCCTGCTCTCAGACTACCTGGGGCAGATGAGCTGATGCCCCGCGGGACGCCCTGCCCCTCGCTTGGTGCGCCAAAGGCTTCCTTCATCTGCTCCTGGCCTCTCCCAGCCCTGCCGTCCTCTCGGGTCTGGCCCGCTGCCCACCTCTCCGCTTGCCCAAGCGGGGCGCAGTGCGGACCAGCCCCCTCCTCGCACCCTCTGCGAGAAGCTCGTCCCTTCCCCTTCTCCAAGAGCAGATGCTTGGTGGTGCCGAGCCAGAGGCTCATGGCTGCGCCCAGCCGGCTCCCCTC